ATTCATATGAACTCCGCTAAGCATGAGCTATATTTTTTTTTCAGTGAGCAAGTCCAATCCACAAATACAGATTAGAAAATTCACCTGCATCAACTTTGTCTAAATATACTCAGCAAAGCAAACCTGGAGAGTATGTGGGACCCAGAAAAAAACTCCTTGAAGAAATTTAATACTTTTTAAAAAAAATTCAGAAAGATGCAGAGTATGTTAGCAGTACATAACCACAGAGTCTGCAATAACTGGATCACAGCACAAGAGAAGAAAACACTTTATCAAGAGCTTTCTGCTGTGGTTAAGAGACACTTACTCCTAGCTTGTAAATGTTTGAGACAGTGATAGAAACACATTTTTCTTAAAGGAAATCACAGTTTCAAGGTAACAGAAATGAATTTTGTCCCTAAAAAAACATAACGTGCTTTCTACTTTTTCCCTTTCAGCGCATGTACCTTCAGTGAAATCATGCCAACGCTATACGGTTTATTGAAGAGAGTGGGAATTAATGTAATTTCACTCCATCTTTTGACAGCCCAGATTGCGCAGCATTTTCGCCTGCATTTCAGTCTTCCCTGAGACCAGCCGTTCCCGAGAGGCAGGACATGCCAGTATGACCAGGAGGTGGGCAGGCTGCTCCGGAGGGGAAATGAAGACAAGAAGGCAAAGTTCGGGCCTCCAGAAGTAGAGAATGAACTGACTCTCTTCTAAATGGGGCTGTATCTGGCCTGTACATGAAGCCCAACTGTGCCAGTTGCAAGGTTTTTCTATTTCTGCTCAAAAGAAACAACAAAAAGAAAAAAGCAGCAGATTGCCTGTGTTGACAGGCTTTCAAGAACATGCAGCTGCTTTCTCACAACTATGATTTCACTTTAAGATAGTGACAAAAAAAAGAAAAAGATATTCTTGTTGAGGCTTCTTGAAAGTCTGAAAGGTCTTACTGAAAAGTTTTAAACAGAATTTCAGAGGACACCAATCATCAGTTACAACATCCAATACCTTTTCTTAAACTTTTTTTCTCACTAGGACACTGCTGAGGTTTTAGGGCCTCTTAAACTAGTAACTTGCATGACTCTGGACTCAGTCCAAGATAGATTTAAAATGGAATTGCATGTATCTTTAAGAACTGACCCATACTTTAAAATGCTTAAAGTGCTGTTTTCCTGCCTTTTTACATTATTGAAGTGAGCCAAATCCAAATTGCTTGGAGTTTCTTACAAGACATAAATCTCAACAAACAGTTGGAGATTCTTTTCTCAGGCCTGTGTTTCTCAGATTTCATCCAACGTTGATTTTCCAAGGGAAAAAAAGTCTGAAAATATGCACAATAGTTCGCCTAATCACATCCTAAAGATAATAAAGAGGGCCTATCATTTTTATATTTTTTTTCCTTCAACACACTAGGGATTATCTGATGGTTAAGGCCCCAATCCTGTAAATAACTATGTTTAGATACCTTGCTTCTGGGAGTAGTCTGATGTTTTTTTTTTTGCACTAATTATTTTCTTTTTAGTAATAACCAGTGCTAAGAAGATTACAGGAGGATAAGGGCATCTCTATGACTAAGCTTGCTCAAGGCATGCCTGAGGCTTGTGAAGACTGTTTCTACAGCAGTGAAGTCACCCTTACTGTACTGGAAATTTATTGTGAATTATTGAGAACAAAAACAATATTTGGGATATCAGGTGGATATTTGTTTCAGGATTTTGTAACTTAAAGCTAGAAGACACTTTTCCAAACATGGAGGATATATGTTTCAAATATGGGGATTTATACAAATTTACCATCTCCTGCTTTGTGTTAGAAGATGATTAGTTTAAGAAGTTTATTGGGTGCAATGTGTGACGTACAGTTACGAAGAACCACAAATGTCCTGTTAATGAAGTGACTTCAGTTTCCATGGAAGAAATTCCGTAGTAATCAGTCAATTTTCTTTGGTCATATTTTGTTCCAGGTGAGTTATATGCTGGTCCTTTTAATTCTATAAAATTGATTTTGTATTTAAATCATGCCATTAAAACTCATGGGAAAGAAATTAGCGGAATCACCAGGGTCTATTTTGCAGCTGAAGTAGCTTATGGCATGCATATAGTCCAATTCAGAATTAAAAAAAAAAAAAAGGAAAAAAGAAAAAAAAAGTAAACATGCCTTACGTAACGAAACATTTTTTGGTAATACATTTTAAAACGTTGTATTTGTGGAAATTGAGAATGTGAATAGTAGAAAAAAGTTCTTTTGAGCCTTTCAGCTTCAGGCAGAGTTTGTGTCCCAGAGGAACTGCTCATGCTTTGTGATGTTTGTCTCCATGATAAATGTCCCCTTCTTTAGTCCCCATGGAGTTAATCACTAGAAGAAGACTAGAAGGCCAGTCAATCTCTGCACCAGCCTGAGGACAAACACCTGGTGATCTCACTTTCTCTTCTGGCGTAAGGCATAAAGTGCTTGTTTTCCTGTCTTTCTTGGGATTATTATTTCTCATGTGCATTGCAGCAGAGCTTGTAAGTCTCTAACCCTATTCTGGAAGAGCTACAAAAATTATCTTTAGAAGTTTGTTTTGTGTTGTGCTGTTTTTAAAGACCTCAGACACAAACTAATAATGAAATCTCATTGTCGCTTCCACCCTAAAATATCCGAATTTCTTTGCTTCCTAACATAACATGTATCTTCAGAAAATGTCTTGGGAAGAAATACTCAGCAATGGTAATAGAACCAGGCGTCCTGCTTACACATGGCTCATCCTGGACCACAAGGTCCATCATTTTCCAGACAGGCTACGCAACGTCTTAGGGTAGGCAGAGGATATACATTGAAATGTTACTAGAGTTAATGCAATATGTGCATTAAATCTTATCAAGCCATGGGCAGTGAAGCCAATGTGTCCTAGAAGTGTTTGTTGCAACCATGCAAATAATGGTACCCTGCACGGATTATACAGTTACGTGCCAGAGCAGCCGAGAGCTGCTCTGACTCCAGCAAACTGTTTTGGGTGGTTCTCTCTAGCTCTCATGTTTCACAGATCCTGATCCTAATCAAGCAGCTCCAAGATGGCAATAGCTGAAAGCAGTTGGACTGTGGAGAAGAGGAGCTGTGGTTTAATTTTTCAAGGCCCAGTAAAACCTTTAATTTTGCCAGTAGAATCACTACTTCCAACTACTCCGACCTTCCCATTCCTGCCAGCTCCCAACAAATGTCATGAAAAAAGGCAGGCAGCAGTAGGCTGCTGCTGTCAGGGGAGCTCATCCAGACTGCAGCTCCTTCCCTGCCCATACCCAAAGGCAGACAAGAAAGAAAGTGGCTGCACGTGAGTTTTAGCCTAAATAAGTTGTCCATACGAGGTTGGGCTGTGAATTCAGCACTTCTGCTCTAGGCTGCTGAGATCCTGTGCATGCATACCCCAGCCGGCCATGCAGTGTAAATGCTGAATAAACAGTTTGATCCTTGTTGAACCTTTGGGTGCCAGTCCATTCGAGTGAATGAGGGTGATAAACCAGGAAAGACGACTGTATTTAGCTTGGCCAGACCAAACCAAACATTATTCACCAAAATTAAAGACTCTTAATGCACACACGAAATTGTATGCTGTAAGATGCACAACGCCACCAGCTACAGGCTTGTACAAACCGATGAACTTGCATTTAGTATGTGCCACAAATACTGCTTACAGGGGAACATTTGTGTATCAAACTATTATAGTCAAAACAGAGTAAAAGCTATTCTAACACCCAGCTGAAGGGCAGATGCAGAAATATTGTTGTCCTAATTGATGTCCTTCCTTTCGTAGCATCCTCCTGTGAGCTCAGTTTTCCAAGTTCTTTACTGGAAAGAGAAGAAAACAAGTATGTGAACTTGGCAAAGCTGCAACGTGTTTATCCACCTTGTCCACATGCGAGTTTGCACTGGTTCAGCCTGCAAGCTCGTTAAGAACGGAGGCCTGCCTTAAGCTCTCTGAGGGCACGTCTAACCGATATAAACCCTAATCAGTGTAAACCGCCCCGCCTTGCGCTCTTGGCGCACCGCCGGGGCGCACTGAGCTGAAACAGGGCGAAAGAACGTAGTTTGGAACCAACGCGTGAATCCCCCCGGCGGGGGGCCCGCGGATGCTGCCCCCGCGGGCAGCGG